ACCACTGAGACCGTGTGATTTATTAAAGTCGTTTCATTTTGTTTATCATATTTAACAATAAACAATAATAATTAGTTCTTAAGTAACAACATGTTATGCAAGGCACATCGGTCTAAAGGCAGTATTAAAATGTTACAAATATTACGGAATTTGTTATGATAATTTACTCAGGTTGACACATTATAAGACACTCTGGTCAGAGGAATAGGGGCACATTCATGTGCATAAGAATATTAATCATCTTACTAAAGCATGAATGTTTATTGTGAACGTTGAGAAGGAGGCGTTGAGAAAATCAAGTTCTTGTCGATAATTGGTGCAGTTTAAGTCCATAACTGTCTATATCAAGGCGTATTGTAGCAATTGTATAACGGGTCAACTTTGACGGTATGATTACTGAGACTAATTTCTTTTTATCAGGTCAGTTTTTTCGTAGTTTCGGTGAGTTAAAAAATACAGACTGAAAGCACTATAGTTAAGTGATAAGGGACCGTATGAATAGTGAAAATCCTAAAGAGATGAAAGTTTAACATCAAACAGACCACCAAGATGCAGTAATGAGTACATTGCGGTTGATTACATAAAATACTTTTTTCATGTCTACTATTATCATAAGCACCTTCGTAAAGCCAGTATTAGACTCTTTTATTTTGTAATTGTCCGGTTAAACTTGCTATCGGATTTATCGATGCGAAATAATCCAATTCAAGGTGACGAACATAAGTCAGAGAGGTATTTGCAGCAGGAAAATAACTTCAATACAACTCATCGGTTATATCTCACTAGACATTAAGAATCTCCGCAAGCGGCTCTTCCAGAGCTACTGCCGGCCCCGAGCCCGGGTAAAAGAGGAGGGTTGGGCATAGGGTCAGCGACCCCATCTCGTAGAAAACTAACTCGCGAGAAAACGCTAACCAGAAAAAATAATTCAAACAATTTAAACTCTGCCCTGGGAGTTGGAAGGTCTTCATTTAGAAGAATTATGACGCTTCATGGCGAAAGCCGAGCTTCTTTGGAAGTCACGAGGTTGATGTCCCTTCTGACAACCAGAGAAACAATTTATATAAGCACATGGAACTTTCGGACAATGCAGGAGACCGGGAAGACCAGTCAAATAGCAACGGAAATGAGGAGATACAAATTGGCAGTTCTGGGAATAAGCGAAACTCATCGAGCCCAAGCTGGACAGCAAAGGCTAGATACTCCGGTCACGAAGAGGAAAATGCTCCACACACTCAGGAAGTTGCATTGATGCTGTCCAAAGAAGCACAAAATGCACTGGTAGGATGGGAATCTCACGGATCTAGGATCATCAAGGCATCAATTAAAACAAATGAGGGGATCACAACGAATGTTATCTAGTGTTACGCGCAAACCAATGATGGCAATGACGACATCAAAGATCAGTTCTACGATAGGCTGCAATCAATCACAGAGATGTGCCCAAGAAAGGACCTCATCATTCTGATGAGTGGTCTAAATGCCAAAGTCGGAATAGACAACACCGGATATAAAGATATCATGGGACGGCATGGACTGGGAGAGAGAAGCAAAAATGAGAAGAGATTTGCAACAAATTGGTCATAGGCGGCAAAATATTTCCACACAACTGTATACACAAAGCTACTTGTGTCTCACAGGGTCACACAACGGAGAACCAGATAGTTCATATTTGCATCAATAAAAAATTCCGAATGACAATGGAAGGTGTGAGAACCAGAAGAGGAGCTGACGTAGCTTCAGACCACTGTTGATCGATCACTGGGTGGTGATCAATATCATGTGTGTGAAGTTTTTCTCAGTGCGCATCGAATGCTATCGACTAAGCTGCAATGTGGCCACTAGTCTAGGTGACTGGTTGGAGGTAGTCAACAGGAAACCCTGGATTCGGGTTTCGTGCTACTTTGCACTCGTCAGCAGGGTGTACCTGTAATCTTGAGGGAATCAGTTTTCCTTGACGGATTCGGCTTATTTAAAACTAAAGCTAACGAAACACTTGACAACTGGACAAACAGCACTACAAAGGTTCAATATAGCCTTACTTCGAGGTACTAACAAACTCAAGGAATTCAAGGTAGCTCTCAACAACGGGTTTCAAGCCCTACTAGATCTATTAAAGGAAGAGGAAACTAATGTGAAGAACAACTGGAAAGAAACCAAAGAGCACTAACTTCAATGTGTCAAGAGGTTCTGTGCCTCAAGAAGCATCATCATAGGGAATGGATCTCTATAGAAACACCGGACAGGATCAAAGAAAAAAAGAAAAAGAAGACAGCAATTAACAACGGCCGAACACGAGCAGAGAAATTCCAAGCACAAGCTGAGTACATCGAAGCAAACAAGCAAGTGGAGATGAGCATTGTAGCCGACAAGTGGAAATACGTAGAAGAACTAGCAACGACGGCAGAAAATGCTGCCTGGGAAGGAAATATGAAACAGCCTTATGACACAACGAAGAAATTACCAGGGAGATATAGCAAACCAGGAACTCGTCACTATAAATCAACTTCATTGATTATCAAAGGGAGTTCGACGGCGTAGATGAGAGAACACTAATGGAACTTCTCCGACACTATGGAGTTCCTGAGGAGATTGTCAGTATTATCCGGAACTCATACGAAGGATTACAGTGCAAAGTGGTGTATGGAGGACATCTAGCAGATGCGTTCCAAGTAAGGATCGGAGTCAGACAAGGCTGTCTTCTCTCCTCCTTCCCCTTTCTTCTGGTGGTCGACCAATATAAAATCACAATTTTCAATACGAACGTCAAGACGGTTTTACCGTTCAGAACTGAAACCTGAAGAACCACCGCAACCATCATCAAAACTGTACAAGTATTCATGAACAATTGTCCACGAGAGATACTCAACATCCATTCGTCGGATACCACCAGCAACAGCCTTCTGTGAGAGAGAGCAAACCAGACTCCAGTTGAAGAGGAAATTAGGAAAAGACAATAGAAATGGATAAGACATACATTGTGGAAATTATCAAACTGCATCACGAGGCAAGCCCCAACTTGGAGTCCCGGAGGGAAATAGAAATGAGGGAAACTTAAGAACACATTATGTCGGGAAATAGAAGCAGATATGAAGAGGATGGATAATGACTGGAAAGACCTGGAAAGGGTTGCCCAGGATAGGGTTGAATAAAGAGTGCTGGTGAGCGGCCTACGCTCCTCCGCGAGAAACGACAGGCGCAAGGAAGTCAGACAATAAGGGGCCGTAAGTGACCAAACATTTCTGTCCTGCCGGAATAGACGGCATACTATATATCTGGCCAAGAACGCCGACGAAATTATACTGCGGAAGAGCGATTTCGCCTGAGTCCACAGTTACATAGTAACACACATTGTGGCTTGTTGATATTGTGTCCAGTTGCACAGTGATTGCCTGGATGAAGATGTATAGTGCATTAAATTACGTGCTTCAATAATCTCCGACAAATCATGTCAACAGCCCGATGACTTGTAATTTACCAATTCATCTTGACGAGTAGATTTATACTGCATGTGGTGGTATTGTATTCTCTAAATAATGCGTAAAGAGGTTAATAGCGTACGTCCATTAACAACATTGCTATTTGTTCGGCCAGACTGAACTTCCGTTTATTTGGCTATTTCATGGTCCCAGTGTCTGGAATGGAAGGTCATTTACTAGCGGCAAAAATAGAAATAGATAATGTATCGACTATCTGCTATGTTATATCATTTTCGTAATGGGTGATTGATGAATGTGGTAATCATTTAAAGTAGATATAAGTTCGTTTTGTGAATGGGTTTTGATGCATGTGTACGCTTACTTGAGAAACTCTCTTCATATGTACGTTCCTTGCATAAATTATTCCTGTTCCTTGAAGTTGTTCTTACTGTAAGGTATAGAGTTTTTATTCTGACCTTCAGTTACAAACGGTTGTGTTTCCGGTCCTCAATTGGAATTGTGTTGTTCATTTTGACTGCAGTTTCGGTATTTCTAACGTTTCATTCAATTGTATAGTTTTGCTGACCAGCTTATTTCAACTGTATCTACAATTTCGGCGGTCGGCATCTTCATTTTTCTTAATTTCGTCGTTATGTTTTCAAAAGACCGTTTAGTTGCGCTCAGCGAGATAGAACAGTGTCCTCTGATTATCGCCTCTATTTTTCTACAGATGGTCGTGATTTTGTGCTTTTTATCAACTTGTGTTTTTGATGTATGGTAAATTGGATATTTGAATCTCATTGAAAAACATTTTGGGCTACACAGTAGGGCATTTTGCTTGTCTAAGGCTCTTTATGATTGATTACGAGACAACACTTAAATGATATAGAGGTTATTCTCCCACGGTTTCTGTTCCTGGAACTCGTTTTTTGTACCTCATGTTGAATTTCTTAACCCATCCAAATTGTTTTTTGCATGTAATTTCAGACGCTCAGGTGCAGACTCAAAGGTTGGGATGCGATAACGTCAATGAAAAGAGCGATTAACAAAGCAGCCTATACGATAAATCTATGTGGCAGTTTAAACTCTTCACGTTCTTGGTAATGCTTTGAGATTAATATACATATATTCTAGTTTGCACTTTCGTTTTTCCTCCATCATTTGAGGCCTGTCTTCCTGTTGCAATTCGTTACATACTAGATTTAATTCTCATGCTTTATTTGGAGTTTCCTCATCAGTAGCTTACCGTCAGAGCTAATAATCGGTTAGAGCTCTGGCTGCTAATTAGCATGCATTGGGTTCTTCTATTGTGGATCTACGTTTCAACATCTATTCGTTGTTGTTAGTATGCCACTCCTCTTTTCCTTGTCATCAAGAAAATTTCGTAGTTTAATCATTTGTCAAATAATTGGTAATAAAAAGTGCAGGGATTAAAGCAGGTTTGAAATTCATTTCGTCAGCATTTAATATGTTGGGAAATGGGAGTTGTATTTGTTCGAATTCATACAACATCGTTCAAGGTCACGAGACATTTATAAAAGTTAACACAAATAATCGCACACTAGTTTCCGGAATATCCTAATGTCATCCAACCAAGGGAATAAGATAGATCGGTACGAAATCTTCCGCATTCGTCAAGGCATGAGGCCCAGAAGTAATGATGAGGCATATTTTGATTGCAGTGGCAGTCCTATGATCGTGAGTACTAACTATTTTGAAAAATTGATTTACAAAGTACGAATAGTTAACAGCAACTCTCTTTGATTTTCAATCTTTGTATATCAACTGAAATACACTGGAGCGTTTTTATTGGATAACTGATTTTCTGGAAATATCATTAATAACAAACTGACTTATTTTCAGTTATGCGTTTCCTTTTGAAGCGACATGTAGTGTTTCAGAATACTGAAGTGCCGGATGTGACCTACTGAATAAAACCATTACAATAGGTTTGTAATACATGAAATGTCAAGAATACATTCCCACCCTTAGATTTAGACCTAATTCTTACCTGGAAGAGGGTGAGCAGAAAGTGTTAGACCCTATAAATAAAGATATTTCGAATGTTTTGGAGTGTAAAAGTACATCATAAGATCTTTTGATCATAGTTTACTCTTAATTTGTACCAGTTGAAATGAATATCATGTGTGCTTACTGTGTCACCACTGTGTGTCTGACTGAACGTGAGGAAAAATGTAAAAATGATCATGACTCTTCACCTCAACCATCTTGTCCCTGTCCAAGCGATTGTGGATGCAAGCGCTGCAACCGACACTTCACAATGTGCTATTCGTTTTTTGTGCGACAAAAATGCTTAGTAAACCAGTTATTTTTCGTCGATAAGTTATTTACAAAACATTTTGTGTCATATCCCTATAGATAATTGAAGTAATAAGTTGAAAAAATTGGGCTTACTGCATAAAAGTTGGAAAACATTGCAAAACATCGACACAGAGTATCTCTATCTTTGATGTTGCTCACAATGCTATTTGATTTAGTGTTGCGAGTATAGAACGAACAACATTCACTAAACATAGTGATGGCAATCACTGTATTATACAGTTTATTATTTAAAGATGACAGATAATCCTGAAACTTAGTACATGGTGATTGATTCTAGATGTGCAAAGCGCATAGTTTACGTAAAAAATCCATAGAAGTTTCTTGCTTCTAGCTTTTCTGAACCAACTTCATTTTGGTGCTTTCTCATCGTGAACCGTGTGCAAAACATTTTACTAGATGTTTCTAGATTTGCTGCAGATTTTACCGCAAATATGTGGTTAAGACAATGAATAAATTGCCCACTAGTTGAACTGTTCAGTTTTAGTCATGAAATATCCGTCATTCGTTCTTAGCAATTCATCGAAGGTTCTATATCATTGTAAACTATAATCATTGACCTAAATCTGCACATCGTTACAAAGCAACGTCTGATAATAAGTTTATTGCCATTAATATTATCTTTATGTAGTAATTAGACACATAAAGCAACTACTCACACCACGAAGATTCATCGAACTTGTTAAAATTCACGAAAAAATGAAGGCAAATCATCGGAGCATAGTTGTACTATAATTGGTTTTAGAATAGATTAAATTGAACACTAACGGACACAACTATGAATCAATCAGATTCTCAGAAAAAATAGACTTTTGAAAATACTCTTAAGGTCATTTTGTAAGGGTGCATGATGAGGTTATAATTCTTATTCTTGTGGTTGCATATCTGCTTTTGGATTGGGATCGAAAGAGGTTCACCAACTTTGCAAACTCATTTTGTATAAATGTGATGACGCGGAATGGTTTTTCTCATAGTGGGTTTTAAACGTAACTAGTAGCATTCTTCGTGGTAAAAGTTTAACATGATGTGCTGACAACGACAGACAAACAGCACTTATTGCATTACATAAGTTACTAGAAATCGGAGTATAGACACTAGTCTGTGTAACTGGACATCATGTTGACTGTGTGTGGTGATAGAGGGTTGGAGATAGTCAACAGAAAGCGCTTGATCTGCTTTTAGAGCAAGTTGTAACTATTCAGCACGGCGTATATCTAAAGATAAGAGGGCTGGTGGTTTCTTTGGGATTCGAAACCAAGTCACTGATCTTCACAATCTCAGGGGGTACCACAGACTAACCATCTGTAATACCGATACCTCTCCTTTGGTTATTCATTCAGAAATAATTAGTGTCATATTTATCTGGTCTTTAGTGATGGTAAAGCTTCGGCGGTCAGTTTGTTAGCTTACGAAGGATTTTATGTGCTTGCGTTAGCTTGAAAAATCATAATTATCGACGCTTCGTTGTTCTTGGTTTGATTTATAAATTATTTCGTGGTTAGGTTCGTAAGTATAACTATGTATAAGTTTGTCATAAAAAAGGTTGTACCTTGAGGAAATATTATATCGAGCGAAATGTATCTTTTTAACATTATCACTAAACTAATGACATGTACTTTATATGAATTCAGTATGATCTACTAGTGTTTAAAAATCAAAATGGCTTAACAAAATAAGAGCCTTATTACACTGTGAAAAAATTGTCCATGAAAACTATGCTGATCCTAGTCAATGACTAAGAAATCTTAAATTGTGCTTATTATTTTATTTAGTTGATATAATTATGTTTCCGTTTCATAGGACGGATTTGATCACAAGATACGGGTTTACAATAAAAAAGGAGCAACAGGAAATCAAAGGTTTGCATTCATTAGTTTGCTCTTTTTATACAATTCAAAATCTGACTGATTTGAATAGCTGAATTTGTATTTAAAATTTTGCAACGATTTCTAAACCTTTCTGGATATACGCATTTTGTTTGTAGTTTACTATTAAGCGTGTAACAATGGTTCGTCAAACCCCATAAGTATCAAAGCCGATATTTGTTAGATAAAAACTGTCAAAAGGCGTCGTAGTTGTGTGATACTTACTGTTGAGATATAGGTTTGGTAATATAGCTTACCGGTTCGTGTTTTAATTTTAATGTATGCTCTTGATAACGTTTAATGAAAAATATAATATAGGGTAAGATTGAAAAACTAGACATTAGAAAAGAGGATCCAAAAGCATTAGATGTAATAAAATTTCTGCTTGCGCTGGTTTAAAAACAAAAAGTGGTTAGATCGCACGTGGTTATCGTAGCCATGAGTTGACAAAAGAATTCATTATGTTAAACGAGTAAGAGCTGTTTATTAGGAGTGAAGGAATAATCTCTATGTAACTCCATATCCACTGTCATTTGTTCTGTCAGGATAAACCCACAAGAAAAGCCATTCCTCACCAACCTCCTACTGTTTGAAAAATCAATGGTATTTTGCCAGCAATACCGTTTTTATCGTAAAGTATTTGAATGACGATAGATTAAGTTTCTGTCTAAAAAAGGAAGTTCATCCTTTAATCATAGAAGACGATTCCTTTTCTTCTGAAAATAGGTGTAATATAAGTTAAAAATAGCTCTTATGAAAACGTCCAGGCCAAAGTTAGAATTATAGAATTCAAAAACCGAATTGTCTAGAAAATATTCTCCTCAAAAAATTGTCGGACTGTTAGTGACTATTTAATTTACACCAGCAATTTACGTCAGCGTACCAAGAAAATATGCGTGCTAAGTTATTTTTATTTGTAGGAACCATCAGAAAGATAATTCATGGTGTTTTTCTACAAGAATACAACATTTCGATAGTTTGAAATAAGTTGCAGCGATTCTGAGCTACCGTGAAAGTGTATAAATATGCTATCGCAGGAAATAAACTCAAAGTTGGAAGTATAATGTCTGTTACAATGTGTGCACACACTAAATTTGTTGTTCAATCTAGACCCAATCAGCATTCACTTTCCTAATGGTTTGGCTTTAACAAAACTGGATCATAACTTTCTTTGATTATTTAGTGTATGATTGACAAAGGCACATTTTTTCGCCTTTGATTCAAAGTTGTATAGATGCACCTCGAATAGATCACAGATAGTCACTAAAATGCGCTCCACTTTATTGTTTAGCTGTAATGACATATTATGAAACTTTTTGGCATCGTAAGTGACTCCAAAACAGTTAATGTGTTTTTCTCAAAGTTTACATTATATATATATATATATATATATATATATACTGTATAACTTTACCACACTTTCACAAATATCGACTAAATAAGCCTACCTTTAATTGTAATACAATTTTAACAATCATCACTGCATAATAATGTAGCAGTTGCTTTTAATGCTGGAATACATTGTATTTTCTTTTCTTGTAATGTCATCGCTGTTTTGTATATATTTATGTCTTACATGATCATTATATATTCTTCATTCTGGTAAATAAATGCAGAGGAGTCAATTCTGAGCAAACATATGGAAGCAAAAATATATCAGACTGTAGGTAAGGAGTTTGTTTACCACAGATAATGGACTCAATTTGCCTTACTATTATAAAGTTATCAGCAAGATTTTGATGATAACTTAGGTCCATTGGTTACTTATGGGATCGACGATGAACCGAAGCCAGGGTGAGTTAATGTGTTTTATATAATTGAAAACGTCATTGTTCAACTAGATATTTTTATCGATCTTTACTATAGCCCTTCTACTCATGACTTGTGTATCATCTGTCTCTCTGGATGTGTTACAATTACTTTTTTGTCAAGACGAGTTTTTTAATGAACGATGATCAGCTGATGTAGGGAACTGTTTATATGTGGTTCATTGATTAGCACACTCATCTAAAATTGCTTTTAAATAGAAATAATAGCACAAAATACCAGTTATTTGTCGTTAATATGATGAAGTAAAATGATATTGTAACTTGAATACGTATAAACTAAACACTAGATAATCTTTAGGAGTTAAGCAGTAGTTCCAACTCTACCAATTGTTTTAAATATTGGCAAAGTCATGCCACAGTTTTGCCAAACCATTTGACGATAATCTATATCGTGAACGCACATTCGTTGAAAGACTGATAAAAGTAGAGAGCTATGGATGTCCGTTTTCTACTTGTTCAAAACTCTTTAAAAATGCTTGCTGACAATCATATTTGAGATTGAATTCAAAGTTCACATGCCCTCGGTGGCTTTATTATATAACTGGTCTACTGGCCTTAAATCAATCTACAGTACCCAAGGATTAGAGAATATTAAACGTAAATCTTTACCGCATCTCCAGCTAGAGATAATTTATTGTCTTTTTCTGGTAATATACTGAAAAATGGGTATTCTAATTAAGTAAATACTTAGCAGTCACATATGACACAATAGATGAAGTATTTATGATGTATGACAATTAGTAAAGCTCTAAGTAAAAGTTCAGAACTCAGTGTTAAGTTCTTGTTGTCTTCTACAATGAAACAATATAACTGAGTGCTTTCCGACTGTGTCTTATGGAACGTAGACAGCCACAAACATATGAATGACTGAAGTGAAGCAAAAATATTGCAGTAGAGTTAAATGTAAACACTACTGGAATCAGCCATTGGTAATGCCTAGGCCTCAGTATTCAGAGTATTCTGATGTCGTAACCACTTGTTTACAAACTGTCGTTAACATATCTTCCGTCCAGTAAATCCAATCCAGAATGAACTTTTCATAATGCGTTCATTCTCACTATTCATTGAAACAATATTATTCATTATGGTTGCATTTCCATGACAATTTGCTTTCTTTCAAGAAATGCCCGCTGCCAACTTATTCAAACTAGTCGAGTGATAGTCGATTAGGGTCTGAGTGATTGATTGACTTCTCATGAAAATCAGTCAAATTCCAGACACGCTCAGTTAACAGTTAAGAGCATCTTATATAACTGGTTTCATTGATAAAGTTTTGAAGAAAATGCCATAAATTACATAAAGTCAATTCATACCATAAATCCCTGTACTTATTGACTGATCTTTTTCATATTTGTTTAATGTCGCCACTTATTAAGCTAATTAGAAAGCTTACTTTGTGGAAGGAAATAATATTTTATAACCCGTGAAGTAGATATTAAACATTACCTGAATACAGAAATAAGTGATGAATAAGGATTTCAATGTAGTCCTTTTGATAACTCAAATACATCTTAATATCATTATGTAAAATAATATTATTTATGATTGTATTTGTCTAATGGTTTGTTATTATACTGCATCTTATTCAGTTAAACTGTATGAAAATCATATATATCTAACACGTTATTCAAATCAACTTGACAAACTAAGTATTCAGTCTTAGCGATTGCCAGATACAATTATACATGTTTGGCTTGCTAGATTAACCGAGGCATACTTTGTTTTCTTGGCATTAGTGATAAACTGAATCATTATTTTTTCTTGCTTACATACTTAAGCTTGTTATCCCTCGAGGACTTGGAACAAAATTTATAATTTCAAGGTTAATAAATTATTGAAGACGACAGAATTGCCCTTAAAGGACTTCAAAATTTTGAACAGTTCACAGAACGAAAATATGACATGAAAAACACTTCAAACTAGCATTTCTATTCATAAACTTATTCCATTTTCCTAATTTACAGAATATGATCGGAAATAGTTGGACATAAAATTGAGATAGGAAATTGCATTACAGTTCATTTTACGTTTGAGACAAAAACCATATCCAATATTTACGTTGAATAAAATTCTGTATTTCGGCATATCAATCAAAGTACTGAAGTCTACTACTTACTTATCTACTTCTGTTACATATCGTGGAGAAGCATAGACCGCTCATCAGCATACCCCATCAAGCTCTGCCCTGTACAGTCCTTTCCAAATGCTTCCAGTTCTCAACGCAGTGAACATTTTGGCTTTCTATTTACCGTTTCCATTCAGGATTGAAAGTTAGAGCTTGCCTCGTGATGCGGTTTGATGATCTCCACAATGCATGTCCTATCTACTTCCAGCGTCTTTTCCTAATTAATTCTTCGAACGGAAGTTGGTTTGTTCTCTTACACAGTAGGCCGATCCTGATGATATCCGACGAATGGATGTTGAGTATCTCTCGTAGACAATTGTTCATAAATACTTGTGCACTTTTGATGATGGTTGTGGTGGTTCTCCAAGTTTCAGTTTTGTACGGTAAAAATGTCTTGACGTTCGTATGGAAGATTGTGACTTTGATATTAGTTGGCAGTTGTTTTGAGTTCCATATGTTCAACAACTGTATAAATGCTGTCTTTTCTATGCCAATCCTTGCCTTTCCGGTACCATTGGATCCTTCCTGTTCGTCGATGGTGCTGCTGCTTCACTAGTTGTCTTCATCTGCATTTGTTAGTGTGTATGGGATAGAAGAGCTATCTCATCTGCAAAGTCCAAATCATCTAACTGCATCCTTACTGTCCGTTGTATTTAGTGCTTCCAATGAAATGTGGGGTCTTCATAAACCTCTCAGCAACCAGAACAAAAAGAGGAAGGGAGAGTGAGCAGCCTTGTTTGACGACGGTCCTCACTTGGAATGAGTCTGTCAGCTGTCCATCATGCATGACTTTGCAGTGTAGTCCATCGTATGAATTCCGGTTGATGTTGACGATCTTCTCAGTACAACATAGTGTTGAAGAGGTTTTCATTACGTCCTCCTATCCACTCTGTCAAACACTTTCTCATAGTCAATGAAGTTGATGTATAGTGACGAATTCTATTCAGTTGATTGTTCATCGATGATCCGTAGTGTCGCGATTTGGTCTGTGCACGACCAATCCTTACAGAATCCTGTCTGTTGATCTTGAAGATGGACATCTACTAAATCCTCCATCCGGTTCAGCAATCCTCTGTTGTAATCATTTCCTAGTACCGATAGTAGTGTGATGCATCTGTAGTTCTCAGATTTGCCCAGATCTCCTTCATTTGGTATCTTGATATCTATGGTATTCATCTTCTAAGTCTGTTATCACTTGCATTTCCCTCCACCAAATCTTCCTGAATAGAATATGGAGCATGTATGCAGGTACTACTATGTCTGACTTCAGTGATTTAGCCGGTATGTTGTCAGGTCGTGCAACATTTTTACACTCTTCACTTGTCTAATGCCCATCCTGACTTTATGGATCATTGATGGAGTGCGATGTATAAGGATGCCTGTAGGTGCTGAATGGATTTCTAGTGTATTGAATGGAGCTGGTTTATTTAACAGTTGGTCAAATTGTTCTATCCAACTGTTCCTCTCTTCTTGAATCTCAGTCATTGCCTTGCTTTATTTGTACTTGAACAGTCTCTCTGGTTTACTATAGTTCATTACCAGTTTCTTCTTTGTGTCATATAGTTGTTTCAGATTTCCTTCTCTAGCAGAGTTTTCCGTTGTTGTTGCTATGTCCACCACATATTTCCACTTGTTGACTCCAATGTCCCTCTTCACTCGCTTGATTGCTTCAATGTAATCAGATTGTGCCTTGACTGTCTCTGCTCTCGTTCGACTGTTGTTCATTACCGTCTTCTTGTTCTTCCTTTATCAAATCTTGCAAATGGTCTCGACAGAGATGCACTCCTTATGATGATGCTTGTTTATTTTGATTAACATGTTTAGCAAGATTTTTTCTTCGTGATGCTGTTGCTGACTCCAGCCCATCTCCTCTTCCCGGTCTTGAAACCATCGGTGGCCCCAGAAAAGGTATAGGAGAAGTTAAATCATTATTCAGCATTTGAAAATGATTTGAACATAGTTGTAATTACATTGAAGTAAACAAATTTTTAATTCATTTATCATAAGCTTCAACAGCACATTTCAAACGTATAGGTTCTGAGATAAAATAGGTATCTGATAGTAAATTTAAATAACATTAACTATTCTAATTTTTGATTTTTTTGTATTTTATCTTAATATAATGCTTTATTTGAATTTTTCTCTTTCTTAGTGATAATAAACGTAAATGAAATTTTAAATGAGAGAATTTGATCACCCATTCTCATCACTGTTGTCAGTTATTATTTTCTTTTTAGTAATTTGGGTGAGTAATACTTATTGTTGTTATATATATGTTAGGCATAATAATCTTTATATTGTTTCACTTCAAGTTTTATTACTCATGGATTAAAGCTGTAGTGATAATGTTGACTAAGTTAGTGCAAAACTAATTAACAGTTATGAATAAGTTATATTGATTGTTTATCTATTAAAACATTTCATCGTTCTGTAATAGTATTCGCGAACTTTCGAATCGTTATATCCTGTTTACTGGTACACATCTAGAGCAGCTGTTCTGCTGAATACATGAAAATTTAATATTTTTAACACAGAATATTCTCCATTTAATATATCTGATAGTAGTATAATGATTAACATATGAAAAAGCTTAAAACTTGAGAAATCTATAAGAGTTTTACTCAAATTGAATAAATACACGATGACGGTCATAAGAATCCATTAAACTTAATGATTAATAAAATGTTTTATAAGAAGAAAACCAACTTCAAATTTCAATGGTTGAATGAAAGTATGAAACACTTCATTATTATTATTATGGGATGAGTTGTATATGTTACTGACAAAACAATAAAAAAAGTAATCAAGAAATCTTTCATATATTCATATCATTGAGTTTTAATATAATGGGAATTTTTCAGCGATTAGAATCTTTATAGCAATTAGTCCTTTTTATAAATTTCGATAGAACAATGAGAAGACGAAGTTTGTCTAAAAAATGTGATGTATTTGAACATGTGCCTAGATGTCTTCAAAATCAATGTATATCAAATGATCCGATCAACGTAGGAGGTAGCAAACCAGGTTCATCGATAGTGAAAAATATAATTGAGAGGGGGCACAAAATTGACATTAATATAGCTTTTAGAACGTTGTATAGAAATTGTCAAGGACAAATTCTCAAGTTTATTGAAGCCTTGGCTATTCATAAATTAACCCCCCCATATGTGTACAAAAACAATATGTCGTAATCTTGAATTTACCTTGGTAATCCTTAAATTATTCTATGGCCTAGGATAACGAGACAATTTCTTATTCTTTCTTTCCCCTTTGTTACTTTTTTACTTGAACTTTCATTTCATTGACCATTATTAATTTTCATATAAAATACCCTGACAAGTATATGTGTGATCAAATATATAGCACAAATACATCACATTTTTCAGATCAACTCCGTCTTCTCATTGTTCTATCGAAAATCTTTTATATCCATGTTTTTATTTTTTAAAAAATTTTTTCTTTTAATTAATATTATGAATAGATCATTTTTAAAAGTACATTTTATTCAAATTTTATATATTTAGATCAGTGAATTCATTCACAACTACAAAAACTGAAAAGCTTCATGTTTTTTTCGAATTCATATTTACTACTTATTTTACAAAACTTACAAATATGAATGTTCTTTTTCTTTTCTTTAATTTTTACTTTTTTGTAATCATTATCTAATAAATGACTATACAACATTGATTTTATATCATTATTATAATATAAACCACATGGTATCTCTTAATTGGCAAGACTTGTTTTAAAATTTATATTATATCATATGAATAACCATATATATATATATATATATATATATATATATATATATATATATATATATATATAATCAAATGTAGAATATGTATAGGTTTGTTAAAAGCAGATGATTTTTCACTAAATTAAACCCTTAATGAGATTGTTTTATTTTGTTCAAAACAATGTAAAAGTAGTAGATGAAAATAATGAATCTGTTTGATTATTAAGTTGGTTCCTCAAAGTTTCTGTATTCTAAACATGGTAATTAGCCAAATAGTGTTAAATTATCTCATGTAATATGATTTGTAACATGAGTAATTGTAAATCAAAACGTACATTGGTTTACAATCGTTGATTCATATACTTCACTGAATGAATATTTAAAATAGTATTTAGCAATCTACAGTTTAGGTAGTTTTTCCTAATCTACTGAAATGTTTAGAAACGTTATTAACATTGTATAATAATTACTTATTTACTTACGCCTGTTACCCCCAATAGAGCATAGGCCGCCGACCAGCATTATCCAACCCAATTTGTTCTGGGTCTTCCTTTCTAGTTCTATCCAATTGTTGTTCATTTTTCTCATGTCTGTCTCCATTTCTCGACGTAATGTGTTCTTTAGTCTTCCACTTCACCCATGACCTTGAATATTCCAAGTGAGGGCTTCCCTTGTGACAGATTCCAGTGCCTTCCTTGAGGAAGGCACTTCCAGCTCTTCTTCCTGATTTTTTTCTCCGCTGGGATGTGATTTGTTCTCTCCCACAGAAAAAATAATTCAACATCGTGTAATATTTCCAACATAAAAAAAGAGAACTAAACTGTATCTGTATATAAGGACTTCCGTTTAAATTTGATCGAATAGTTTCATGGTGTTTGGGTACCGAGTTGATGTGAGACACTAAAGAGGAAGAATGTATTTTTAAAATCTTAGTGACTGAATTTGAAGTAAATCCAACGCTCTGTCTAACAATCTGGTCCAACCTTCTTCAAGGAATTTCAATCAAACATAAAATTTGTGGAATATAAAAAAGTACATCGTTCTCTGGTTAATTGTATATTAAATTTATCATCCAATCATCGTTAACAACGTTTAAAGTAGGTGTTTGCTTTAATGTGTAAGAGACATGGTGTGAAACGAAAAGTGTGTTAGGATAACAGATTGTGTGTATTCGTAAGCGGTGTGAGAAGAACGATAAATTCATGATGAAGCGAAAAGAATAATAAAATATGTAAAACCTGCAATGAAATTATTTCATCATATTCAGGTTAAGCACAATGTGGAAAAAACGAACCACGAAACATTTAGAAAGAAGAAAATGTCATAAGTAACTTGCAAAAATGAGGAAAAAACGGTTACTGAAATAAATAAAAAGATCTAAAGCATAAAGGACTGTATAAGTCAGTCTGAGAGCTAAAAAAAAATCTGTACAGTAGATACTTTAAGTCAGGAGCTTGAATTTATCAACAACTCACTGACCGAGATCGGCTACCCCAGTGCTTCTATTAAGAAGTACATGTATGACATAATAAAGAAGTCGGAGATTTCGACTGTTCGTAAGGAACCTTTATACATGAAAGTGCAATTCAACGGGGATGTGGCTAGTGACACTGAAATATAGGTTAACGGAAGTAATCACCAGGACATTCTACGCAGCCAATCTTGCGTTGACTTTCTCTTGTCGACCAGCGATGTCTACCCGAACGAAGGATAATTTACCTGAGTTGGCCTCCTCAATGTGCATTTACAAATTCAGCTGCTCCTGTGGAGATAGCTATATCGGGCGTACTACCAGGCAACTTGACCAACAAATGAGTGAACATCTACCAGCTTGGTTTATAAAGGGCCAGATAAAAACAATTCGCAGTTCTATCTTGGCACATCTTATTGATAGCGGTCATTTCGAGTGGTCTATCGTATAACTCCATCGTTTCCCAAAGGAATTCGTTCCCCCCTTCTACATATAACTGAAGCCATAGGAATTCGTACATATAACCCCAATTTATGTGTACGGAAGAAATTCGTAACCCCTATCCCTTCGATGGCCAGTTACAACTTAACTAACAATTTTTTTATTTTTATTATTATTTATTTGTTTTATTCTATTTTTGTTGTCATTAACCTTATTTTCACATCCATTATTTGTTTGCAATTTTCCTCCTTTTTCCGTTTGTATTCTTCACAATCTAATTATTTACACATTTCTTATTACGTCATGATTTTAATGTTTTATGATGACTATTCCAAGTCCATTTACCCACGTTTGACCTTCTATTTCCAACGTCTAACTATTGATAAGATTTTTGTTATCGTATTTTATTATTCTTACTACTATCAGTACACTTGTCTTCCTACTATCAACTTGTATTTTTACTTATTATGTGTGGTGACCTATTCTATTTCATTGTGATTATTGGTCCAAATTGCCTTGATTGGTTTAACATTTTCTTATAAACATTCATGTATATTAGAGTAAAGCTTGATGACGGTCTAATTGAAAACAATTGTTCGCTTATATGTGTTGTTCTAATTTTCACAATGGGAATCTTTAACAGTGTGAGATTGACTGGCTAGAGTAATCAGGAAATTCTCCTGTCTGCTTGAATTTACACCGCTTGTCCTCCTCTTTTACGAACTCATCTTACTAACACCTTATCCTAAAACTAGTTCGAAGGTTATGCATTCAGCAATTATAAAATAAATAAGATTACTATAAGCCTTGTTAAGGAAAACATGTCTGTCTATAATTGTAATTGCTTGACAGCTTCACCAGAAGGATTATCGCTTTTTTATCAATACAGTTTTTAGACGTTATGCATTTAAAGACAACCAACAGTTAGTAGATAGTCTATAATAATATTAGTTGAAATGTAACTTCCCTTTTTGGCATATGCTTTCATGGATTTGTAAATAGAACTGAGAACCGAATGAACATTATGTAGCATGCAAAATCATAAGCTAATAAAAATGCTGGCGTCATGAAGAGAGAGTTAGGTAACACAAGCGTAGCCCTGTAATCTCATGTTTTACTTGCACCAAATTTTTATATAGCGTATGTTTTGGTGTACTTGTTGCTCATATTAGAATATTTAGGTTGTTGGTGGGATATTTTGGAGCCATCTTCTTCCTGAAACAAACACTGATAATTTCCAAATATTTTTATGTTACAGTATATTACATCTAATCAGTTGTTATCACGCGATAATTTAACTGCGTTCTCACCTGACGTGTCTCAGCACATTAAATCACCAATCAAATCAATGTTTTGTAGGTGGTATATACAGCACAACTTATACACAATATTGCACTTGTCAAAAAATCCTTTCATTTTAAATATAAATAGAAGTAGATGGTCGATCCTTTACATGTATGGTGCTAATGCAAGATATGATTAGAATTTTATTTTATAGAATATCATGGCAAATTATGAGAACCATAAATTGAACACTTCATTTGTAGATTTCCATCACTTGTCCTTTACATTCTGCATGATTCACGATTCTTCTATTCCATTCCACTTCTGATTTATGTTACACACTAGGTATGTTGACAGACATAAGTAGCATACACCACAGTACTACAAATTATGTGAGGAATCGTATATTCTATTACAGAATGTTAATCAACTCGTGATGAATTTTATTTAGTAATACAACTGCCATAACATCATTTAAACTTCCATATTTGTACTTAAATATTCCCCTACAGTTAATACAGTCCTTTTTAACATCTTTTTCATTCTTATTATTTATTTTGTATATTGGAGTCATATTTCGTCCCGCTTTTGTGTTTTTGTTAACATTTTTTATCGTGTCTGTTCACTTTCTTTTCTACAATGATTTACTACTTGATTGTTACTTCATTTTTATTGCTGTTAACTTATAAAACCACTCTACAAGAAACTTATTAGTATTTTCATTAGAAACATAAGTTGACATAATATAATATTTGACATCAATCATTTCACTTTCACCGTAAATTGATTGGGTATAGTTAAAATTATCAGTTATCTCTACTTTAGTCCTAGATACCTTTCTTTGTAATTTGAATGATTTCACTCTACCTACGTGCTAGTCTGTGCAACCAAACATTGTAAGTTTTAGTATCGTGAGATTTTTAGGTATATATATATTAGCATATTGTTGATGGTAGCTATATATTTCGATACTAACAATTCTAAATTTATTGTTGTTGGTTAAATCAACTTGTCAGCATGTTAATTATTTAACAATTATTTCTTATGAGCTCATCATAAAATGACGCCAATGCATTTTATTGTTCGAAAAAATACATACCGTACACTGAAAACCATAGATGTTTCATTAGATATAAGTCAATAATCTTTTGTATTATGACTAGTGAGGTGGTACCTTGCTGGATGTGAGGCATTTACTCACAGAAGACAATTAAAGGTGGTCGCGCAGCATTTTGAATTGACTGAAGTTAAGCATTGACATTAGTGAATGCTGGACCAGTGACTTACAGGTTAACTCGATCGTGCGCGGAAACGAAAGTGGTACGTTTGATTGCTGGCATGCAAGCTCGTGCATGCTCACTGGTAAGGGATTTAGTAGGAGGACTTAGTGGCCAGACAGTTCTTCCAGGTTATCATTGTTGGTCTAACATTGGTCGGTTCATGATTTCTTCGAAATTCAACAATCATTACATCGTACAATTTTGTTTATTAATATGCTTCCTCAGAAGTCGGTAAAATTTGTCATATACTCTACAGTTACTCATAAGTAGTGTAAAACAAATTAAAAACATGTTGGTAGATAGTATACATCTCGGTCCAAGTCACTGGAAAACAAT